AAGATCGACTAGGCTACTTGTACTTAAAAAAATAAGTAGCTTTCGAAAATATCAGCAAATATTGAATGCGATGACCAAAACTCGTATTCAAGATTTACTGATAGTTTATATTACTACTTTCAATTGATATAAGTAACGTAGTCCATTTTCATGACAATATACAAGGGATGGCCTCTGAGTCTGGCCAGTCATAGCACCATGCCGCAAGTCGTCAAAGAGACGTTCGCATTCCACTTCCCGCGACCAACTGACAACTTTGCTCCTCCTTTTGTCTTGCTGCAGTCACCTGCTCATCCTTAGCCTCTTGGCTCACGTCCAAAATGTTTTTAATCAACAACTTGGATGCCTACTTTATACGAATATGAGTAATGTAGTCGAGTGTAACGGCAAAAGCCTTGTCTCTTGGTCGAGCATATTTCCATTTCAAAGTGGACGAGTTTGGTGAAAATATTCGCAAATCTTTTCCACCAGAAGACGACCAACTTCCGCTTGGCTGTACCGAAGCATTCTTGTCCACGTTGTTTCCGAATCAATCTTCGTTGGTTCCGATGACAACGTGACAAGCTTTCGTCCGTCGCTTGTCAGCCGTAAATGCTGTTCACACATCCTGTCTGTGGGCTCTCTGACGAGGGATTCATTTCACATACACTTTGACTCTTCGACAAAGTGTAGCTAGTTACTATGGCAGACTATGTTGAGCTCGGTTGAGCTCGCTTCCCTCTGCCTAGGCCTCGAACCGCACCCTCCGTCTAAGACGAGGATTCTGGAGGCGTTCGACTCCGGTCGCCAGGCAACCAGAGAGTCGTCATGATTTCGTGCAGGCGAGGTAGCATCCGGTGAATAGCACTGGCCCTAGCTCCGTTACGGAAGGTTCAAATGCTCTTCTACAAATGTTATTGTTCAACATTTGCCGGCACTTTCAAAGCATGCTCACAACGTCGCCATCGCTTGCACGGAAGAGGAGAATCTGCACACTTTTCCGCTTCAACTGCAAGGCTTGACTTTGGCTCTTCTTCTTTGAGGCAAAGGGTGCCAGAGGACAGACCTTCGGGAAGGGTGGGGCACGGACACATCAAAAACTGCCTCCAGACGCGACGCTTGAGGCAGTTCGGCTCTCGGTTGTCACCTCAGAACAACTCGGAGTCTGGAGTCTGGAGTCTGGCACCTAAAGTGTGAACCAGAAGCGGAAACCTGGAATCTAGGTCCTAAAATCTGCGACATGGAACCTAAGATTTGAAACATAGCACCTGGAACGTGAAACCGAAACTTTGACTCTAAAATCTGAAACTGGAAATCCAGATCATGTAAGCTGGATCGTGAAATATGGAACCTACAACCACGTCATGCAACTGGAGCTCTGGTTGATCGCTGACCGCCACGGACTTGGTCTTACGACCCTCTCGAGTGGCATGCACACGACTCGGACGTCTGCTGGGACGAGTGTGCAGACGCGTCCGTCCCGTCGTCCCCTCGGACCAACCGAGCCCCCCTCCCCTCTCAAGAAGGACTCGATCTCAGGCCCCTTCCGGTGGAGCTCAACACCGGCGACTCCCCACGGAGACCGCAACTGATAGCACTTGTCCCCTCCACCACCGCCCACAAAGCACAGCCAGCCAGTCGACAGCTCAACACACATGCACACGCACCCACATACACACTTTCTATCACTACCTGCTGATCACACCAACTCGTCTTCCCACTTGGGGTGGCTATATGTTTCACAGTCCTCGGCGTTCGATCAGACCAGGCGACATACTGACACACACATACACATACACACACACACACACACACACACACAGAGGCATATAGACACAGCTACATAGACATACGTTGTCCGAGGGCGGGTTTTGCTTGAGG